TAGCAAACACTTTACAGTACAAAAAGAAATCGTAAAATCAAAAATTGAATTGATTTTTAGGTGACGAAGAAGTTGTACAGCTTTTACTTGATAATGGTGCAAAGGTCAATGCCCAGGACGAAGATAAACATACATGTTTACACTATGCAGTTAAAGAAGGTTTGTTCCCATCAACTATTTGGTCTTTTGAAATGAATATTCATGAAATTTGCTTCGTAGGTAAAGTGAAAGTGGTGGAAATCCTGATTAACAATGGCGCAGATGTAAAACTGAGAAACAAAGATGATCACACTGCACTCGATATTATTGAAAGTATAAATGAAGACCACATTAAAATCATCGATTTATTGCGGAAGGCTGAAAGTCAAATGGGATAGAGTCAACTGGTCAACTGTCCTAAATGCTAATTGGACCCTCAAACGCAATTTTAATTCGAAATCTTCACAATTTTATTTCAAATTTCCCAATTCAAAAGCCAAAATCTAAAATAAATTAATTCAATGTCATAGTTTCAAATTTGTGTATTTGTTTTATTGATTAAATTGAAAGGAATCCAGTTTTTTTATGTTTCCATCGTATATTACTTTTCTGCGCACCTCAGATCCCCGGGAAAACTTGTGAATCTTATTTTCTCACCAAGATACATGATCTCACAAATTTTGAAGAAATTTCAAACAAACATAATCCTCTATACAAAATTTTCGAGTTTTGGCTCCAAAAAATTCAAAAGTATTTTTAATCTTTCTATATACATAAGAGTCTCTTGAAATTGAGGTAAATGGTTTAAATCATAAACAAAGCTGTAAATCATAAACTACGGCAATGTTCTTATAGAAACAGTTCTTCGCCTTGTTATACAATCAAAGACGTCTGTAGAAGCAGCCGTGCACAACACAATCAAACAATAGTGCTTTGCAAGTTGATAAAAGCACACAAAGTGCAAAAATCGAACGAATTACATACTTTCAGGATGTTAAATGAGAGAAACAATAATTTGTATTGAAACGATCTAATAGAATCGTCGCTTTTTGCTATGGATCACGTTTTACACATGATTGGATTTTACTTGTTAATTGAAGAATTGTGTTAATTTCCAGGTGAAGACAGTACGATCCATATTTGAAATGGTTATACTTCGATCCTCGAATAAGACAAAAGACTTTCAATCGAAGTTATATAACAGAAAAAGTGTATTGAAATGATTTGGAACATTGCAAAACATCGTAAACAACTATTTTGGCGAAATGACATTGGAAAGAATCTGTTATTCATTCATACGGCTTGGATTTTCCCTGTTTCTTAACTTTTGTTTTTCGTCGTACTTCCTTGTATGCTCTAAATACAAAAATCGTGTCATTTTTTTAAAAACTATTTTCTGATAAAGAGACAGAGAAAGAGAGAGAGAGAGAGAGAGAGAGAGAGAGAGAGAGAGAGAGTAAAAGGAAGACAATTTTAATCTCAACCCAATCTGAAAAGGTCGTAATTTACGTGGTGATCATAACGTAAGTATTGAGTCCGTGTTCACTATAAAACTTAACATGTGAGTAAAATGGTTATCAGTCACCGCTCATGTGTGCAGTTTTCTCAATGCACAATTTTGATAGAGAGTCATTATCAATGCGCATGAATCGAATCGAAGGAATCTTTGAAAAATCAAATTCAGCGATCACTACGATTCGATCTTCACTCTGTTGTTGTTCAATTGAGAAAAGT